TACTCTCTCTGGATGCATCTGGTCATAGGACACTGGTCCCTGGGTCTGACCCTGCGTAGCAATGTCGCCTTAGAGCACAGAAACCTTGAGTGCTGGTGATTTCCAGCTTTAGAGTACTTGATGAAGCCATTTCAACATAATATTCCAAAATAAGCAATTTTTAAAAAATGAAAATTAAAAAATAAAATAAAATAATAAATAAAAAAAATAAATACAAAATAAAATAAAATAAAATTAGAAGTATCCATAGGTGTCTCTATTGACTGTCACAGTGAGCTCTGCAGGATGCTTTCTGTGCTGAGCTTTTATATGCAACATAAGCTTGGCAAGCAGCTATATTTTTAGCAGAAAGTTAGAGAGAAAAAGCCCCTTTTCTATCTGCAGCCTGAACTCCAGCCCGTAGCTATAGAGCCAGTTCAGCCACAGGGCCAGCCAGTGTTTAGTCCCACAGCAGCCCAGGATACAGGTGCAGACGTTACTGGTTCCATCTCCATCGCGCTGGCCGTTGAGCAGGCGTGTGCCGCATGGGCCACTGGAGACAAGAGCATTTACCCCACAAGTTGAAGCCCCTTTTCTCCCTCTCAAGAGCAAACCCAGCCCTGCTTCCACATGCCCTGTGCATCTGCTAGCCCAGATGTGCAAAAAACTCATCATCTGTCAAAACATCTGCACTGTCAGTGAGAACAAGATCAGCCAGGCTAAGGGAATAAATCCAGAGCGGTCATCCCAGCGCTGGCTCAGGGAGCAAGCCTGGCTTATAAAACCAGTTCTTTCCAGATGCATAGCACTGTGTTTGATTTTAAGAGAAAAATACAACAATCAGAAATACCAGGGCACAGCAGTCCCAGCCTGGGCAGCATCCTGCTTCAACTCCCTCTTTCTTCCCTAGAGCAGGAGGGATCTGCTCTTTGTTTCTCCCTATAATACACTTATGTGCATTTTGCCGTAGATTTGATTGTGTTTATTCTCCCCCCTGGTTAGGTGAGGCTGTGCAACAGCCTGCTTGATGCTATTTGGGACCACTGGTGTTCAGTGCCTCAGAGAGCCTCCCTGGTTAGGTGAGGCTGTGCAACAGCCTCCTCGATGCTATTTGGAACCACTGGTGTTCAGTGCCTCAGAGAGCCCAATGGGAATGCCTTCCTCAGCTCTCCAAAAATCACCCTCAGCACCTGTGTTAGGCATGCTCACGTGTGCAATAACCTCGTTTTTGTCCACACTGGCAGCAGGTGTTTATTAGACACAGAAAGAGAAGCGGTGCAGACAGGAACACATTCAGCAGCTAATCCTCAACTGACTTCATCCCACTTGCACCAGAGACCGTCCCTCCAAAGCCGCCCCAAGCATTATTCTCTTTTAATCTATCATTCCTAACGATAATATTTCTGTGTTCACTGACACACTGTCCCCTCTCCACTGCCCACAGACACACACATTCACGAGGGAGGCAGCACTGCCTGTATTCCCAGTTATTTATCCTCCCGTTGATGCGATGACTTGCTGCGACACAACTTTCAAAAATCAGCTAAACAAAGCCACCACTGAAACTGGAGAAAGAAGATAGATTAAATTAAGAAATAAAAAATAATCTGGGCCAGATAGTATTAAGAAGTTTTGTATCCAATCCACACCCCTGGGTGCCTGGAGACATAAAGGAAGCTATTTCCAAAGCCAGGCACCAGTTGTTAGACCTTCTTGTGGCGTGGCTCTGCCAGGCTTGTTTCTCTCACTTTCCTCCCAGATTGTTTTGGAGCCTTTTTTCTTACTCTTGTGCAAAAAGACATAAATAAATGGGAAAGTAAAGCAAAATCTGCACAAACGCAGGTCAGGAGAAAAGAAAGTACATATTTTTATCAGTAGGTAAGTGTTACCTTGGGAGCTGGCACCAACCCTGCAAGTCCAGATGGAGCCTGTCCCCAGAGCATCTCCCACGGCGCAAACAGGAGCCGTGGCAGGAGGTGGGTTCCTGCGTTATCCAGCAACACAGACCACTGGGGCTTCAGAGCCTGAGCAGCATCTCCTCCAGCATCACCCAAGTCATCGCTCCGAAGTCACTCACTCTGAAGTCATCCACAGCCCCAGCCAAGGAGTGAAAACTCATGCCCATGTGCTGCTGGATCACCTCTTAAAGCCTTTTTTGAGTATGTGGGTGGGCTCTTAGACAAGGTTGAGACCTCATGCCTGAGCCCCTCCTCAGCCACGCAGAGCATAAATCTATTGGAAAAATTTTAGGGGCCCTCAGAGCCCTAGGGTGGCATTTCCAAATGCACCCAAGGCAGTTGGGAGTTGCTTCAGAAAATTACACCAGCTTCAAAAAAAGACTCAATAGCCTCCAGGCAAAAAAGAAAAATTACTCTGAGACATCTCTGCCCAACGTTAACCACTGAGGTCCTGGCTACATTTCTAACAGCTGCATCTAAGCCTACCAGCCAACTCCTGGGTGCCAGCTTTGCACCCAGCCTCTGCTCGGGGCATGCCCACCAGCATCCCAGCACAGCCCCCCATGGGGTCTCCAGCAGGTGCCCATGACCCATGGCCAACCCCACCTCCATCCCTGCAACGGAGCCCACCCACACACCTTGCAGTAAGTCCTCCCGTCTCATCCCCGACCTGGGAGACTGCCTACCACTATGGCCATCGCCAAAACGGTTTTCCTTCATCATACAATTACTTTAAATGCTTTATTTTCAATCAAAGGCAGCCTGCGCACCCAGGCGGGTAGCTAAGCAAGAGAGGAGGAACCTTCTATCCTGCACAACACTGTGCTAGTCTGGCCTTGGAACACTGGGTCTCACTGCCACATACTGGTGCTCTAATGACAACAAATAAGGACCACAGCTTTGAGAGAAAGATAGAGCCTGTCTCTGACACTGGAAGAGAGAATTGTAGAAACAAAACCCTTCCTGAGACGCTTGAAGGTCTTCAACTCTTGTTTCCCCACAGTCAACATTAGGAAAACCACCAACACAAAGAGCTCCAATGGCAAAATTAAACATTTCCAGAAGTGTTACCATACCTAATTTTTTACCAACAAAGCTGCACAAAGCCTTGTTTTGTGCAGTGACCAAACCCAACCAGATTTTAGAATAAATCGATGTGCCGTGTTACTACTTACCCTCGGGCCGATGTCCCCTGCTTCACCCTGCGCATCACAAGCAAAACAGCAAGGGTCAGCTATTAGAGTTCACCTTTCAACCACGAAGGACCAAGCACAGGGTTAGCTGGACGTGGGAACGGCACAAGGGAAGGGGCAAGAGACCTATTGCTTAATGTATTCAAACCCAGGGAGGAGAAGGGCTCGAGACAACACAATAGGGAATGGTTCTGCCCTGGCAGGCGATGAAACAGATAATAAATCAGAAATAGCGGATTGTTTCCAACTCTAAGGCTCCCCTAGCGACTGCTTATGTCCTACACATGGGAGGGTGAACATCACTTTCAGTACAGTAAGGATCTTCTTGGGCTGCTCTAATTTCATGGGAGGATGTCATGCAAACACAGAGCGATGGAGCCCCCAGCCTTGCTCTTGGAGGAAAGCAAGAAGGGTTGTATGCTGCTCTCCTAACCCTTAAGGGGTTAGCAGGAACCCTGCAGCAGGGATGAGCTTTAAGGCCATCCTTATTCTTCCTATATCTATGGAAATTCTTTCTGCCCTCCCTGTCCCAGGGCTCATCCAAAAGCAACCCCAGAACCCGCTGTCACAGCTCCACATCCCAACAAAAAACAGCGTCAACACTACAGTGGTGTGTTGGGGTAACCTGAACTGAGAGAATTACAGCAGGAGGAGGACATACAGCTGCTTCCCCCAAAGCCACATGTTAGTGCTGTCTTTACCTTCTCCCCTTTTGGTCCTGGAGGTCCCTGGAAATACAGAAGGATCCGAGTTAAGAAACAGCAGAATTGTCAACACACACAACATCAAAACCAAGGAGACTGCATTCATCAGTTCACAAACCTGAGCCATGCTCACTATTATTTTAAGTTACACACGCTATGACTTGAAGTCACAGACTGCTTCACACAAGCAGCATGCTACTGAGAAGCACCAGCGGGGTCCTGCCACTGGTGCCAGGCCAGAGGACCGGGGAAGGACCGCGGAGGGCAGGCAGCGTGACAGCCTCTCGCCAACACGTGACTCCAAATAGATGCGAGAGATTTCTTGAAGTCTTAAATCACTTCTAGAAAAACACATGCTCAGCATATCATTACAACAATTATACATCTGTTTGAAATAAACAAGGAGGATGGGCTGCTTTCTTTGGCCTGTTTGCTGAAGACATAAGTCATCTTCCCCTCGGAGCAGCTTTCTGTAAGACAGGCAGAGCCACGCTGCAGCCCCAAAGAGAAGCCGCAGAGCCACGCTTTGATGTGCCTGCTCTGCATCCTCCTTCCAGCACAGAGAAAGACTGAATCTTGGGGTTCAGCCCAATTTGCGGTGCTTGCCAAAGCGGGACCCAGTGGGGGAAGGTCAGCAGAGAGGCCGATAGCGGCAGCATCTGCATCCCCACGCAGCATCCCTCCTGCTGGTAATTTGGCTTTGAGCAAGGCTGCTGGCCCCTTGCTCGCATGGAAGAGATCATGAACAGTCTGGTTTGAGTTTGGCTGTTTGATAAGTTTGTTTTTCATTGAGATTTTCCCTGCCTCTTGCCCAGAGGTGTCGCTCCTGCCTGGCACACATGCGCGGCTCGCAGCCGTTTGCATCCACGCACGTGCCAAGGGCAGCGGGCGCAGGAGCGCGCCGTTGGGGTTTGCGCTGTTCTTCCACCATCGCGTCTCACTAATTCAAAGCCAAGCCCTGAACACAGCAGTGTGAGCTGGCCTTCTAGTTTCTTGGAATTTTTTTTTTGTTTTCTAACATGTTATTTCTAGATTTTTTTTTTTTTTTTTTAAATTCACATTTGTCATCTTCTGGGTTAGGATAGAAACAAACCTCAGCAATATATAGCTATAACAAAATACTCCCTGACTGGCTAGAAAGAAATATCTAGAGTAACTTTATGATTGCAAAGAATGAATAACTTCTGCCCACTTTGAAAATCCCAGTTGGTTTAGGACTGGAGCTTGAAAAGATTTCAAACGGTGCCCTCTAGTGCACGTGGTGGGACAGAGTGGGGTTCGGACACCAAATCATGAGCTGTGACCTCCTGCAGCAGCCATCCAGCCAAAGGAATCACAGCTGGCCAGTGTTCAGCTAGCACAAAAATAGAAAAGCCTGTGTTTCTGTACAACAAGTAAAAAGAGAGTAGAGCACGTGAGGACCCAAAGGGCTTCCAAGCAAAAATGAAGTCAAGCAACCAGCTCATAAAATGAAGCCCAGGCTGTTCCCCAAAGCACTGCACGGACACCAGGCACTCCCAAGCGCTTCACCTGGGCTCCTGTGGAGGCAAAGGGACCCAGTTTGGGAACAATTATTTGTATGATACTACTTCGTAGTGGCAGGAGGACACAACCAAGATTACTGACTTTGCTTCTTCCAAGGTGCTACGGGTGTTTATTTCCCAAATTTGGGCTGCAGCCCAAGAGCAGCTGCCAGGTAAAGAAAAGCTCACCTCGAGCTGTGCCGGCCAGCTCTGGTTAGAGTTTAAACTTGCATGGGTGACAGACCATAGAATATTTTTTTTTAAATCCAATTTTGTCTCCTAAACAGTTATATATGTAGTAATAAATTAGTAATATTTAGATTCTGCCTATTTCAGAGCAGCTTGAATAAGCAGACGTTAGATTTGGCACTCGGTGCTACTTACTGGTTTGCCATCCAAACCAAGAGGCCCCTGAAAAGGGAAAGAAAAGACAGTATTATTAAAGAAAATAAAAATTAAAAAACCAATTTACAGACATAGCAGTATCAGTCATGCTATGGAAGAGGCTTTACATACAGTATAATCTTTGGCTGCGTTACTTATATACCTAATCCTTCATCCATGCAATCCAGCGGGAGAGTTTCACAGAAGCACAGTAAGAGGCATCGAACAATTTGCAGAGTAAAAAGGAGCATGAGAGGAAGCGACAGGATTAGTGACAGGGACAGGGTGACACTACTCTGGCACAGCGCTCGGGACTCCCTGAGGCTTTTAAAGACTCTAAACAAGCAGCAGTAAAACATGCCTGATTTTGGTTAAACTGAGCAGATCCCAGGAGTGATTCACATCAATGTCAGATCTGAAACCACCTGTTTTATCAAAAGGAGTTGCAGAAACTCTACGATTTTACCCCAGATGTGGGGATCAGCCATCACCCTCAGTCCATCACGGTAAATCTCATTGATGCCAAGGCGTGTCTTGCTATGGAAGAAGGAAGGGTACCTCTGCCCCATGGGCCAATACCTATCTGCTTTGCTCATCTGCAGTGATGCAGAGCTGGGAACGCACTTGTATTTGCAGGACCAAGCACTCGGTCACCCCAGTTCCTCCCCAGGTCTCCCCTTTCTAGCGTTGCTGCAGGAACACATGGTAAGTTGACGTGATAAATGGTTATCTCCCCATCGTTTCTGGCATGCAGCCCTTCATGAACATGGAGCCACTGAACTCACTGGGCCATAGGAAACCTCACTTTTGAGAAAGGATGCAGGTGGGGAGAGAAAGCACAGATGCCCTAAGGTCCAAAGCTGCTCCTGCAGTCAGCTGGAGCTGGCACTCAGGCACTTGGGGATGGAGGGAAGCAGTTCAAAACTCAACAGCTACAGTAAATCCCAGAACGGCATTTCCACCCATCTACAACCTGCCACATGAGAACTTAAAACCTTTCCTTGTTTAAACCCAAAGAAGGCTCAGCCCTGCAAACCGTTCCTGAAGAGACACGGCACGATGGTTGCTCCTGTGGTCTCAGACACAACCCAGCCCTGCTCTCCTCACTGCCTTCTACAAATTCAAGGGCTAAGGCTTGCAGAATTGTACCTTGGGATCAGCACCCCTCATACGTCTGCCCAACATGGCCACATGTGTGCAGCATCTGCGCATCCTCCTGGCTCCTCCTGCAGACGCGCTGGGCTGAAACATCTTGCTTTACCGCCTTGTAAACTGGGAGGTCCTACTCAAGCAAATGTGGTTCGGACTATGGTATAATGCCACGATAAAGCATCAAAGTTTTCTGTATTTCTTAGGGAACCGGTTAGGGGAAACCTTTTTTAGTTTAGCTTAAATGTGTGATGGTGAAATTGAGCAACAGAGAGAAAGGTGTGTAAGAGAAGCCCAATGGCTGCATTAAAACCAGCATTCTTCTGGCTCCCAGCTCTGGCCAGCGATAAGGAACAAATCAGTCTGCAGTGGCTGTGGTGACTGGGCTTGGACTATGGAACTGTGGGACACACACAGCTCTGTTTGGAAAAAGAGGAAAATCCAGGTGGCTGAGTCCTGGGCAGGACATTGGTACCTGTGTTATAAGGACTAGGGGACCTGTACAAGAGATGCTCACCTGAAAATAAATGGGGATTTCTTTACACACGAGATTTATGAAGTTACCAAGTATAAGTTATACTGTTCACATGATGTGTATTGTTTCTCATAAGGAACTACCAGTACACAACTGCTACGTAGCAGTAATGAAAAATACAAATGAATGCAGTTGTGTCCATTAATGCAAAGGCTTGAAGGTCACAACCAAACTGCTACTTCTTCCCCTAATGTCCCCTCCATACTTTATATCACCTCGATTGCTTATAACACCTGGGAAAGGCATCAGGTCCACAGAGCATCTTTCCTGAAACTATGACTGCTTGAGATGGTTCACCTGAAGCTCCCGACGCAGCTGTCCGACCTCCAGAGGACAACATGTAGGACTAGAGCATAGAACTTGAAACACATTCAACTTCTGAAAGGAGAAGTCCCAGAGATTTTTATTTTTTTTTTTAATTTACAATACCAACTCATCAGCTTTTAGCTATTCTTGTATCAGTCCACAAAAGGACATCCAGAAGGAAAAACAATGGCCTATTCAAAGGATGTTTGTTTGAGGGAAAGCATTTAATGCTTGAGAGAAACAATATCCATTGGACTTTCAAAGGGGCTCTTGGCCAGCCATGCCACTGAACAGACAAGCCTAACTCAAGACTTAGAAATGTTTCGTTAGTCTGGCCTGGAGATGTAATTGACTCTGCTCTACCTGTCCAGCCAAACATCTGCATGAGCAAAGGCAAGGTTTCTGAGAGCAGCCAGAGGACTGAACATGTAAAGTAGGAGAGAGCATCTGAAACCTGGGCTTGCCTTAAATGATTGTGTACAACTTCCAGGAAAACCCATGTGTTGAGATCACTATTGTCTTTTATTTCAATTCTGCTCCATGTCACTTTAATTAAAGATGAAAGATTTTTTAGTTTATTTCATAGAATCACAGACTGGTTTGGGTTGGAAGGGACCTTAAAGATCATCCAGTGCCACCCCCTGCCATGGGCAGGGACACCTCCCACCAGCCCACGTTACCCAAAGCCTCATCCAGCCTGGCCTTGAACCCCTCCAGGGATGGGGCATCCACAGCTTCTCTGGGCAGCCTGGGCCAGTTTCTGGGCAACCTGTTGGAGTTCTTCCACCACTCTCACAGTAAAATATTTCTTCCTAATATCTAATCTAAATCTCTCCTCTTTCACCTTTAAACCATTACCCCTCATTCTATCCCTCTACGCCCTGATCAAGAGCCCCCCATCTCTCCTGTAGCCCCCTTTCAGCACTGGAAGGTGCTTGAAGGTCTCCCCGGAGCCTTCTCTTCTCCAGGCTGAACAACCCCAACTCTCTCAGCCTGTCCTCGTACAGGAGGTGCTCCAGTCTCTGACCATTTTTGTGACTCTCTTCTGGACCTGCTCCAACAGGTCCATGTCCTTCTCATGTTGGGGGCCCCATGTGATAACTAAGGAACAGGAAAACAACAAGTAACACTTCGTTCCCCCAGTCAAAACCCACCTCTACAGAAGCTTTCATTTTGGGGAATACAAAAATCACTTCCACTTAAATGACCAGCACAAAGTGTAAGAAAAATGTGAGTTTTCTGGACACACCATTACAAGCAAGCAAGAGTAAGAGAAAGGTTCACAGTGGCTTTATGCTGTGCTTTCTGCCCAGGGATAAATGTCACTCATGCTTTTGCCCACTCTCGATGACAGGCCTTTTGTTCCAAATCACACCCACAATGATCGCACTTGACATAACTAAATGCTCAATGTATCAAGAGGGGATGAACTTTCTACCTGGGGCAAACCTGATGTTTTAAGACAAGGTAGAGAGAAAATTCAATCAACTTTCCCCAAAATGTGGTTCTGACCAAAACCATCACTGCACCAGCCAAGCAGGACAAAACCCATGAATCCTGGGTGCTTCAAGAAAGATGACACTCATGTGGTCCCATGGTTTTTTGTTGCACAGAAGCCCAGAAGTCTTGTGATGTAGCACCAAAAAGTCACCTCTCACTGCAAAAGCGAGATTAACCCAACGCCAAGAGCAGATGAAGGCTTCAGGTTCACCAAAGCAGGAAGACATGGAACTTGCAAGCTCCAATTCACATGGAAAAATCTCTTCCAATAAATAATAAGCATTTCCCCCGTACATCCCTTACCCCTGTTCAGAGCAAGCCTCGGTGCCAGCCTGGCTCCTGGCCCTCCGCCTTCCTCCGCTGGTGCCATCGCTGCTGCTGGCAGGGACGTCCCTGCTCTAGCAGCGTTACAGGAATTATAAGGGAGGGAAAAATATCTAGTGAAAACAAAGCCAGAGATTATTAAGAGGACAATCCTTCTGAGTTGGGAAATCTTCTCTTATGGTTATTTTTAATGTTTCCTGCTCTGCTAAAAATTAGCACAGGGATCGGAAGGAACCCTGCAGTCAAATTTTAACAAATTTCAAAGGGCTGCCTTCAATCTCTGTCTCTGTGGTTTCAAATAAATGGTAAAATCTTACATTTGGAAAAGAGGAAAGTGTCAGAACAAAAGAGCAGGACAATATTTTAGTATCCCTGCGAAGGGCCCTGGGTCACTGGGCGGCGTGGTTTGCAGCGCAGCCAGGGAGTGGGGACCATCCTTCCCCATAGGCTCCGCTGTAAATCTTCCCAAGTGGAACAGTGTCTGGTGGTGATGCGGTTCCTCAGCACATTTTTGTATGAGAAGAAAGCTCTGGCAAAAGCTGTGGCCAAGCACGCCCTGCCAGAGCCGTCACAAGGAAAGTGGAGAAAGGCAGCCAGGTTGCCTGGGCTCCTCTGAGCCTCCCAGCTGAAGGAAAAGGAGAAAAGAGGGAAGAAATGAAATGCGAGACCTCTAAATAGCAGCTGAGAGCCACTGGTGCTAACTGCAAATGAACTGAGTACAAGACGTGCTCCGAGATGTCCCCTTGTCCTTGTCCCCCATTACTGCTAGCCCCTCCTCCTTCCCAAAAATCCTCAGTGCAGAAGGACCAGAAGCCATTATAAAAAAAGTTTCTACTCCATCCAATATCATTTCTGCTACAGTAATCATTTGCCCTTCCAAATAACAGCATTTAAGTATCTGTAAAGAGATAGACTCCACAAATGAAATTGGTCGTACGAGGAATTATCCTCCGCACACACCGACTGCAATGGCTGAGCCTGGACAAGTCCTTGGTGGGAAGTTCCTCTGCCTCTCCGACCTCTGGGGTCCCTGGTGTGAGACCCTGAAATTTCATCAGCCTGCAAAAAGCACAGCATTGGAAACGTTCCTACTAGGAGCTGTCATATTTAAGCATTAAGATCACTAAAATCACAATAGCTTGATGTTTAACTATATACAGTGTAGACAGTCTCACTGGAAGGGGATAGGATTGCTACACCAAGAAACAGCCCT